CATGTCCATCACTCTCAGGCTGCATTCCAAATTTCAGGTTCATCTCCCTTTCTCTCTCTCTCTCTCTTCCTAAAATTAGTGCCAACATGGGCATTGCCCACCTGAATTTCCTTTCCTTTCCATTGGGAAGAATGTGCTTCCAAAGGGTTTTAACAGAAGGAACCAACAAAGAGAAAGTGTGTTTGACTGACCCATAAATGTTAAGGAAGACATTCACCGCTAACACTGTTATAATGTACTAAACCAGAGGTCTCCAAACTCAGCAACTTTAAGACTTGTGGACTTCAACTCCCAGAATATCTATTTATCTATCTAATCTACCTATCAAATGTATCAGTTGTGTATCTACCTAATCTATATTAAATTTATTGGCTGCATATCTATTTATCTACTTACCTACCTACCTATCTAATCCATCCATCCATCCATCTATCGTCCTCCACCCAGCAAACATGATTTTTTAAGTGAAGGGGAGGAAGGATGCCAAAGTCATTACGACACTTTCTCACACCGTTTCATGGTTTGCTTTGAACTTTTTTTGCAAACGGCATCAAAATGCGTGCCAGAGCTCTGGCTTTGAAACTGGAATGTTCTGGATTCCTTTGTTGGGGGGGGGGGAGAAGGGGGGTAAATCGTGCTACCTGTTTCCTGCATTTTCCCACGGTGGAAACCGCACGGTCCACGAGAAAGTTACCCCTGGCCATCTTCTGCACCCCACTTTCTGTTTCCTGGGTCTGTTTAAAGAGGGCTCCGTTAGCCAGCCAGCTTCTCTCTGCACATCCTTTATGCAACGGATGATTATTTATAGCCGTTTTTGAGTCTGGAGCGATGCAGAGCAGGTGGAAAAAGAATTCTGTTAACCGATCCCCAATAGATTTTCCAGCGTGATTTGCATCAACATTTTCCCCTCCGCATGCGAATCTTCCAGCAGAAACTGGAATGCAAATGTCTGAGTCACACAGAGCTCTTCCTCATCTTGCTTTGAAAAAAAAAAAAAACCACCCCAAATTAACAAAAATGATTGGCCTTAGTGCAGGGGTCCCCAAACTTGGCATCTTGTGGACTTCAACCAGAGGTGGTCATTCAGCCAATTCTGACCAGTTTTGGAGAACTGGTAGCGGAAATTTTGCGTAGTTTGGAGAACCAGCCAATCCAACCTCTGACTGGCCCCGCCAACCCCATCTCTTCTCTGCCTCCCATTGAGTCCCAGCTGATCGGCTGGGTCTCCTTGGGTTGCCCTGCCCAGGAGAACGGAGCTGGAAAGCAGGTTAGGGAGGTGGGGAGGGAATGGGGATTTTGCAGTATCCGTCCCCTGCCACAGCCACCAAGCCATGCAACGCCCACCAAGCCACACCCACAGCAGTGGTGGGATTCAATTTTTTTTTTACTACCAGTCTTGTGGGCGTGGCATGGAGGGCGTGGCAGGGAAAGGATACTGCAAAATCTCTATTCCCTTCCCACCCCACTAACCTGCTTTCCAGCTCTGTTCTCCTGTGCAGGGCAACCAAAGAAGAGTCAGCCAATCAGCTGGGACTTGGGAGGTGGAGAATAGATGGGGCGGGGCCAGCCAGAGGCGGTATTTGCCGGTTCTCCAAACGACTCAAAATTTCCACTACCAGTTCTCCAGAACCGATCAGAACCGGCTGAATACCACCTCTGGCCCACAGTACCGGTAGTAAAAAAAAAATTGAATCCCACCACTGACTTCAACTCCCAGAATTTTTCCAGCCAGCTGGCTGGAGAATTCTGGGAGTTGAAGTCCCCAAGCCTGCCTGCAAGGAATTTTGACACGCAACCAGCCAGGGTCACCAATCCATGCTTACCATTCCGAACAGACAGACAGACATACCTGGCGTAGATGTTTTGAAAGTCATCCGTGCCTCTAATCCTGTTTTGGACCGAGTTCCCTTGGCTGGAAGCTGTTACCTTTATAGCAAACCTCTAGGGTCAAACTTAGGGCAGGTTTAAAAAAAATAAAAAAATAAATAAAACGGAGAATGAGTCAGAGAGTCAAGAAAAATCTTTTTTTATTTTTTATTTTATACACTGGCTTGTATTGCTCCTATTCCCCTCCCACCTTTGTTATAGTGCAAAAATTGCGAAACACAAAATAAAGTGGACATTTTAATGGCACATAAATAAATCTGACACACATATACAGATAAATTAACACATAAACCCCTCCTCAAGGCATCTCCAATCCAGGGTGAATAAGCTGAGGATTTGCACCATGGATAAGAGTTTGTATTTCAATTGAGACAAGGACGATGGGATTCCTTCCTTCCTTCCCTTCCCTATCCATCCATCCATCCTGCTTGACAACTGGTTCACATTTATGGCCGTTTGCAGCATCCCACGCTCACAAAATTACCCATCATTTTAAGTTTCCAATCTTTCCTTCTGACTTCCAGCTAAAAAAAAAACCCAAAACCCCCCACGGGTGAAAATGGGACAGCTGCCAAAAAAAGCGCGACCTGTTTTACGACCGTAATTCGGGGCTCAATTGTGGTCATTAAATGAAGGACTACCTGTAATGCAATTCAGGTGGGAAGTTGAAAGCTAGTTTTGAATTAAACTGGGGGGGGGGGGGGGGAAGCAAGGAAGTGAGTGAAAGGATAACCACTGCCAATTCCTTCGTGGTTAAGGCTACCTTATCCTCCATCGTTGCAAAACCCAGCATCTTTGCTTGCTTTCCAATCTCACATTGAGAGTTGTAGTGTATCTCTTCCAAAGATGCCGCCGAAACTGTGTAGCAAAAAGGATGGCGCCTTTAAGACTTGTGGACTTCAACTCCCAGAATTCAGAAGCTGCTTGGGGAAAAAGCAGGTATTTAAGGATAAATTACAGAAGGGCAAAAATCCCTGGCTAGGGATTTGTAATGAGGATAAATTGGGAATATCTGATCCGTGGACCAGAAAGATTTTTAAAATGAATATTGCTTGGAGAAAGTCCTAGCTTTTCAGCTGCATCATCTTTTGGCTGAGCATATCTCAAGCTTAGCCACTTTGAGACGTGTGGACTTCAACTCCCAGAATTCTCCAGCCAGCTATGAATTCTGGGAGTTGAAGTCCACGCGTCTTAAAGTGACCAAACACCGCTGTAACAGCACGAAAAGGAATTTTATCGACATCTTCCGATGCAAACGTTTTCTACCCCACTCCGGCACAAACGGATGAGAAGGCCCCCGTGGAGAACCTGCCCCACTGAAGGACCCCAAAAAGCAAAGCGGAGGCACTTATAAAACAAAACAAAACCAAACAAACAAACACCATGAAAACAAATTTCCCAAAATGAATGCAGCGGGTTGAACCCTGATACATGGTTCCCAGTCCCACCCCGTTACAGCACACAGGATTTGCAAAACGATGTTTCTGGGTAGGAAGGCCGAGCACAATGCCAGATGAGCGAAGAAATACAGATTTACAGAAAACGTCTGTTGGAAACGTCCTTTTTTTTTGCAAAAACGCCTTCGAAGCGAAGCCACGATGCCTATATAAATCTAAATCATGGATACAGAGGAGCCCAGCAAAGTTGCCTTTTGGATTCATCCTTGGTAGCAAGCAGGCCACGGTTTGTTTTCATTTTTCGCTTTATTTTTTCAAATCATGGCTTACGAACGGTAGGATGTATTGGGAATTCAACGCCCAGAATTCCCAGCCGCGGACATACGGGCTGGAGTATCGAAGAAGTGGACCCATAACTGTGGTTTGCTGAACAAAATGTGGCACCAAGCATTGGAGAGTCTGTTTGATTGTGGCTTATCCAGCTAGGGAAGTTAGTTCACCAATTGCAGTTCGTAAAGCAGATCCATAGAAGGCCATGTTTTAATCGTGGCTTGATACCTAAACCCCACTTCTGACCCCCCAAACCTGGGGCCGATTTGAAGCAGATTCATATGAGGACTCTCTGAAGCTTGCGAGTTGGGACGATCAATTCAACCTGCCCCAACCTCATCCCGCGTTGTTGCAAACTGGCCAGTGAGCGTCACAGTGAAACAGTGACAAAATAAATAAACCAACACACAAACAAACAAAATAAAACAGAAAACAGGAGCAGCAAAGTGGTAACTGGTAGAATAAAACCAACGAGAAGCGTTGGCTGACTTACAAGAGCCTTCATGTCGTAGCCTCTCCCACAGAATTCTCATTTTTTTTTGCACCCAAAATGGCAAAGACAAAGAGATCAGCCATACTTCCTTTCCTCTCTCTCTCTCTCTCCCCCACAACCAATATTTGTTTGCTGCAGAGTAGCTGGCATCCAAGCTGGGTTTTGTAGTCCAAACCCCATCCAAAGGGAGAGAACAGTACAACAGCTAGAAGCTTTTCAAGGCAAGTCCCTCAAACGTAGTGCATTTTTTTGCTTTCAAAATAATCCTTCCCCGTTGAAGTGCCGCTGTGTGACTCTCCACGAGAATTATTTCTTTTCGACTGCCTTCTTAGTGCTTTGAGAACAAAATCCAACATAATGCAGTTAATATTATATAAGTTTCACACTCCCTTCCGAGGAACGGGCTTGGCAGGATAATACTCTGAAATCAGACAATACTCTTGAATTTTTTTTTTTTTTTTAGACAGGAATTGTTAGGACAAAAGTCTGGCCCGTAGCGTTGCCAAAAAGACGAGATGCCAAGTTGGTCCATTCAATAGGAAGGCTGTGATTAGGCCACTCTTGGTTAATCCACCAGGGTAGTTTTTTTCCCCCCACAAAAGTTTTCCTTCCGTAGATTGCAGCCACGGTTTTGGCTCACCGTAGATTAAACAAAGCTCCGCCCTGCCGTTTTCTGTCCTGAAAACCCTCCGATTTAAATAATAATAAGTAAGGGAAATAAATAGGGAGAAGGCAGGCTGGAAGGGAGCAGATTGGCTGGCAAAATAAATTATTAAAGCCCCCACCCACCCATCATCAGAACTCTTTAACAACTCAAACAGGGGAAAGCAGTGAAGGAAATGCTACTGGCGCACCCTGAACTATAAAAATCTGTAGGCCAGACAAGGAACAATGGATGGAAACTGAACAAGGAGAGATTCAACCTGGAAATAAGGAGAAACTTTCTGACAGTCAGAACAATCAACCCATGGAACAGAAGTTGCCTTCGGAAGTGGTGGGAGCTTCATCCCTGGAAGCTTTCAAGAAGAGACTGGACTGCCATCTGTCAGAAATGGTGCCGCGTCTCCTGCTTGGGTGGGGGGTTGGACTAGATGACCTACAAGGTCCTTTCCAACTCGGATTAATCTGTTAAAATCAACTCCACGGAGTCTACAGTAGACCCCCCCACTTTTCCCAAATCACCAAACAACTTTGACCGAATTCTTCCTGGTTCAGACGAAGAGCTAAGCCACCCCGTGGAGACAGCTCCAGACACATGCCGGGAAAGATACTAGGAGAATGTCTGAATGGGTGGCCTACAGATGTGGAGAACATGGGAGAGGCCCTGTGGAACATCTCAGCCCTGTTTTGGCGTTATAAGGCATCCTTTCGCGAGACACCAAGGTGAGAGGCCTGCTTCCGCCCCACACGCCTTCAACCGTGTACTGTTAGTTTTGGTAAGAAGTTTTGGGCTAATTGTGATGTTCACCGCTTAAGGTTCTGCAAGTTGGCACGCACCGCCTACGTGAAGAACTCCAGGGGTTGGCGTCGTTGGCTGAGCTCGTGGTGGCACCTTGATTTTTGCCCGTAACCAATCTCACGGTCCTTTGCATGAGGTGGATCCGGCGATCCGACGTCCAGTTGTGGAACTCTAAGGTTGTGGAGTCTGGCCTACGAGAAACCAGGCAGCATTGGTCTAGTTGGGATGAGATCAACAATGGACGCGCAGAGTATCGCTCGTCTTCTTCTCCAGTAGGTCTTTTTTTAAGGAGACTCTCCTCTTGGAGCTGAGCTGGAGGTGGGCCCTCCCCCCGGGGAAAGTCTCTGGGTGCAGCCACGCCTCCTTCAGAGAGATCGGCTTCCGGAGGGGCCGGACCAAGCCGGCTTCGCGCTCCGACAGACGCTGCAGTCCAGGCGAGGCGGGGAACGGCAGGGTCCTTCGTCAAAGACTCGTCGAGGACACTGACAGGGTGGGCGAGGACGGGGGTGGGAAGTTGAGGAGTTCCAGCACGGCCACCCCCACGCTGCTGCGCCGGGTGAACATGCACGAGGCTGCCACCCACTTGTTGGTCCGCGGGTTGTACTTCTCGATGGAGTTGAGGCTGGAGCTGCCGTCGTTCCCGCCCACGGCGTAGAGCCAGCCTTCCATGGCCACCAGATCATGGGTGCTTCTATAAAAAGAAGAAAAAAGAACGGAGTTAGGAGGGACTGCAGAGTTCCCGGAAGCAGGAGAACGCCTGGCTACGGCAGTGGGCTCAGTGGCTAAGACGCGGAGCTTGTTGATCAGAAAGGTCGGCAGTTCGGCGGTTCGAATCCCTAGCGCCGCATAACAGAGTGAGCTCCCGTTCCTTGTCTCAGCTTCTGCCAACCGAGCAGTTCGAAAGCATGTAAAAAAAAATGCAAGTGGAAAAATAGGGACCTTTTTGGTGGGAAGGGAACAACAAATTCTATTTGTTTCATGACTCCCTTCTGCTAAAGTGGTTGGGCTTCAGCGCTGAAAGAAGGCCCGATCTGGTGGGAAGTAGAGAGGACCCGACGGTTGGGATGCCACGATCTTTGGGGCGTTGCTCCCTACCTACGGATGTTCATGGGGGCCACGCTTTCCCACGTGTTGGTTTTGGGATTGTAGCGCTCCACCGAGTTAAGGCAGCTGGTCCCATCGTTCCCTCCGGCCACGTACAGCATCCCTTCCAGGACGGCCACCCCTGCGCTACTCCGGCGGCTCAGCATGTTGGCAATCGGGGTCCAGGTGTTGATCTGGCAGAGGAGAGAGAAAGGAGAATTAAGAGAGAAAAAAACCTCTCAGCTTCCAAAAAAAAAAAAAAAAAGAAAAATCAGCTTCCAAAAAATCCTTTTCCTCCTTTTTTAGAGTTGTAAGAGATACATCCAAGGATCCTGAGTTTCTTCAGACCTTTCTTTTTCTTCTTCCTTTCTTTCTTTTTCTTTTTCTTTCCTTTCTTTTTTTCTTTTTTCCTCCCTTCCTCCCTGTGTTTTCCTTCCTTCTTTCCTCCCTCCCTCCCTCTATCTTTCTTTCCTTTCTTTTTTTCTGTTTCATTGATTCATTTTTTCTTTCTTTTTCTTTCTTTTCATTTTCTTTCCTTTCTTTCTTTTTTCCTTCCTCCCTCCCGCCCTGTGTTTCCTTCCTTCCTTCCTTCCTTCCTTCCTTCCTTCCTTCCTTCCTTCCTTCCTTCCTTCCTTCCTTCCTCTTTCTTTTTCTTTCTTTCACTGATTCATTGATTCATACATTCTGTTTTCTTTCTTTTTCTTTCTTTTCATTTTCTTTCCTTTTTTTCCCTCCCTCCGTGTTTCCTTCCTTCCTTCTTTCCTCCCTCCCTCTTTCTTTCTTTCTTTCTTTTTTTCTTTGTTTGTTTCATTGATTCATACATTCTTTTTTCTTTCTTTTTTCTTTCTTTTTTCTTTTCTTTTTCTTTCCTTTTTGTTTTTCCTTCCTTCCTTCCTTCCTTCCTTCCTTCCTTCCTTCCTTCCTTCCTTCCTTCCTTCCTTCCTTCCTTCCTTCCTTCCTGTGCCTCCTTTTCTAGTCTAAACTCTCCACCTCTCCCTTGGGGCTCATGCCATCGGAGCAGGAGAGAAGGTGTGAGAATCCTGGCCCACGTTTTGCCTTCCCCCCACCCCCCCCATTTACCTGCGGTTCATACTTCTCCACCGTTGCCAAGTGGGAGGAACTGTCATATCCTCCCACAGCATAGAGGTTACCATCTGTGATGGAGAAGAAGTGGGGGAAAGCAACTTGTAATAGATCACCCAGTGGCCCCCCCAGCTGCAGCTAATGAAGGGAATCAGGGCCTTTTTCTCCCCCGTAACCCACGTTGCTCCCTTATCCATTCTTCCCTGCGTGCCCTAGGATGAAGAGGGGGTGGGCCTGGGTCTTCCTCTGGATGCCCAGCTGGACTGTGCCCTTCTCCAGTTTCCTCCACAATCTCCAGAGCCGCACTACCACTCCGTGTCAGCTGTTCCACCTCTCCCTCGGAATCAGATTCCAACGGGGGCATGACAGAGCTGGACTTACCTAAGGTTGCTATGCGGACGTATCTCCTTCTGGTGCTCATAGCCGTGATACTCGTCCAGGTGCCGGTTAGGGGGTCATATCTTTCAGCACTGGGACGTATGAAAAGAAAGCAGCAGAATCAGTATGTTGTGACCTGGCCTTCACAAAATCAAGAAACAGATTCCCCACAAAGAAAAACCCAGGAGTAGGATTCTACCGGTTTGGACCGGTTCAGGCGAACCGGTTGCTCTGGCAATCTTTTGGCCCCACCCACCTGCCCGCCCTTGCCCTAGTCCAGGGGTCACCAGCCTTTTGGACTAAAAGCATATATATGTATGTATGTATATGTATATGTATATGTATATATATATGTATATATATGGATCTTTGGTTATTCGGGTTTTCTCCTGCGTAAGATTGGAAGTATCTAGGCAATGTTTCAATGAAGTCTCATTCATCATCTTCAGGCTTGTGTCTTCGGCTCTGTGCTTCTCAGAGTGAATACATACAAATACCCGCGAGAACCTCCTCACAGACGGACACAATACAGAAGCCTGATGATGGCAGATGAGATTCTGTCAAAACGTTGCTACAACTTTAAAAGCACAACTACAATGACGTGGGAAAATACCCGAACAAAGCTGAATGCCATACATGTAAGTACCCGCGAAAACTTGAGAAAACACACACACATATATATATAAAAGTAAAAGCATTCCAAATGTCTAAGAGCTTCCTTGGGATGGGGAAACCTGGTAGACCTTCTTGAACTCTGAAGGACCCTTTACCTGTTCAGACACGAAGCTCCGTCGTAGCCCCCAGCAGCATAGAGGAGGCCGTGCAGGGCTGCCACCCCAAGGCAGCTCCGTCTGGTGCCCATGGAGACCTCCGTCTGCCATGAGTTGGTGACGGGGTCGTAGGATTCAACGGTGGCCAAGTCAGACGTTCC